TTCCCTTATCATTACAAAGATCACTAAACTGCTCAGATATAAATTCTCCTCCGTTGTCACTCCTAATAGATCTTATTCCGTTTTAGATTCATTCAGCACAGAGTGCACAAACATTTTGAATTTTGTAAAAGCTTCATCTTTTGAGGCAAGCAGATATACCCATGTAAACCTAGAAAAATCATCAACTAATACAAATGCATATGACTTTCCTCCAAGACTCTCCACATTTGTAGGTCCAAATAAGTCCATATGTATTAGTTCAAATGATTGAGTGGTGGTAACATCCCTTTTTGACTTAAAACTCTTTTTGGCCAGCTTTCCGCTAACACATGCATCACAAAAGAATTTTGAATTGTCTTTCAGTCTAGGAATACCTCTGGCAGATTTAGTTTTGGAGAGTTTTGAAAGTTTTGAAAGACAGACATGTCCTAACTTTCTGTGCCACAGCATTTCTAGGTCAAGAGAAACAACTTGAAAACAGGTTTCATTGAAAGCTTCCAGACTTTTCAAGTTTACTACATAACATGTTGTTTTTCTTAGTTCCACTGAACAGCATCTTGTTATCATTAATCCTAATAATTTGACAGGAATCAGCTTCAAATATTACTCTATTTTCAGCACAGCACAGTTGACTAATGGAGAGAAGGTTATGCTTCAGACCTTTAACAAACATCACATTATTCACAACAGGAAATGGACTTTTACCAATAGTACCAGTTCCCATGATTATTCCTACTCCATCATCACCAAACACTACTTTACCTCCTTTCTTATAAGTAAGGGAAGAGAATAGTTCTTGTCTATCTGTCATGTGGTGGGAGCAACCACTATCCAAGAACCAAATGTTCTCATTTTCTCCCTGTTTCTGCAATCAATTAAACATTAGTGCATTTTGGTACCCAAAATGATTTATACACAAGAGGTTTCCTTAAATCATAGCAAAATTTTGCTAAATGACCTTGTCTTTTACAGTGAGAGCATGTATATATGGTGGGGTACTTTCTGACTATCCTAGTCTCAAAGTGCTTTCTTTGAGATCCAAACTCCTTTTTGAAATCAATTCTGATTCCTTTCTCACTGTTTCTTACACTGTACCTTAAATTTGTTTTCTTGCATAAAGTACCGAGCTTGTGATTTTTATCAGTTAAGTCAAAAATCTGCTCATTAAGTTTAGCCTGACACTCATCTTGAAACTTAATAGTTCTTTTGAGATCATTTATTTCCTGTTTCATTGCCTGATTGTCTGTCATGAGCATGCAGTTCCTACTTTTAAGCCTGTCGCATTCATCTTGTAAATTTCTTAAAGCATGCAGAAATTCATTTTTTGACATGGGATGATCACTTCTTTCAGAGTCACTATCATTTATTACCTGATAGCTTGTTGGAAAGGTCTGATCATCACAGCTGGAAGAGTCTGAATCAGCTTCTCCTTTTGAGGCGAATGCCATGTAGGCCAAGTTCTTTACTTCCTCTTCTTCTTCCGAACTGTAGTCACTCCATGATGCTGCAAGCGCCTTCTCTTTGGCTTTGTTGAGTGGACATCTGGATCGCATATGACCTGTCTTTCCACACTTGTAACAGATTGTTAGATCTTTATCAACAGGAGACCTCTGGTCTCCCTTATACCTTTCCCTTCCTTCTGAGCTTTTGTCAGCAAACATTTGATTATGCCTTTCAGACATATGCTTGTTCATAGGCCCTTTATCAGTATGTTTTGAAACAGGTTTCTCTTCTCTATCTCGTCTATAATCTGAGTGTCTGTTTTCCGAGTTTCGAATGTCATTATAAGCTCTATTTGCTTGGAACTCCCTTTTCATTCTTAACATTCGATGAAATTTTCTGCTAACCAATGCAAATTCTCTTTCAAATTCTTCACTGATATCATATTCAAAATCACTCTCATATTCTTGAGCTTTAAATGCAATCACCTTTTTCCTCTTATTATCTTCCTTATTCATTTGTGTGATTACTTCTTCATGGCTTAGCAGGGATCCTACCAGCCTCTCAATAGATAGAGTATTAAGATCTTTTGCTTCTTCTATAGCTGTTCTTTTAGGAAGCCATTCTCTAGGGAGACTTCTTAGGATTTTTCTAACTAGGTCTTTTGTAGCAAATGTCTTTCCTAAGCCTTTCAACCTATTTATTAGATCATTGAATCTTTTATACATACTAGAAATAGATTCTCCTGAATTCATTTCAAACGATTCATATTCATTTAATAAAACATCAATTCGACTTTCCTTTACCTCAGATGTACCTTCGTGAGTAGTTTGCAATGACTCCCAAATTTCTTTGGCAGTTTCACATTGGGCAACCTGATTTCTTTCTTCAGGTGATAATGCTGAGAATAGAAGATGCATTGCCCTTGAGTCGAGTTGAGAGGATATCTTTTGCTCATCTTCCCATTTCTCTTCATCATCATCTACCATAGGAATTGGCCCCTTTCGAACAATGCTCCATAGATCACCATCAACTCCCCTTAAGTAAATCTTCATCCTCTTCTTCCAAACAGAGTAATCCGTCCCATCAAACCATGGAGGGTTTGTATTCGCAGAATAAGATGCAGGTGCCGATGAGGATCCAGCCATCTTACTGATCTTCTTTGGCGATAGTTAATCCAACAAAGAACCTGCTCTGATACCAATTGTGAAATCAGAGTGTGAATCAAGAGTGTATTTTGTAAAGACGATCACACTCGATAGAAACAACCCTTTTGGAAATGGATAATTTTATTTATTTTAGAGAACAGAACACGAAAGAAAACACAAGAGCCAAGCCAACGAATTGGCTCTTTGAACAAGACACAAACTTCCCAAGAACAAATCACCCAGTACTACAACACTGTGATTTGTTCTACTGAAGTGAAACACGGACCCAAAGCAACAGAAGACACTTCACTATGTTTCTATTACAGACTGCCAAGTTTTAATGAAAGAAAGGAACCTACTATTTATACAAGGGAAGAAGATAACCGTTAGCTAAAGATGATGATCAAGGCTGTGATCATCATTAGTCTTTGTAGAGGCGGTGATGATCTTTGCGGGAGATGCGAGCTTCGAGAGAGATGTCTTCGTCTTCCAGAGCAAAGCGATAGTGGAAGAGAAGATCGAGAAGCGAACAGATCTGGATGATGGTCGGTTGTGGTAGTGAAACGTTGTCCCAAGCGAAAAAACGACAGAGGTTTGATTTTGTGAAGGCTTTGAAGGATGACGTCGTAAGTGGAAGATGAAGTGGCGTCGTTTTATCTACTTAAGCCGCACGTCACAATTCAACAACTTTCCCTTCAGAAACAGTTTTCTTGCCGTCGCCGCTGCATGGACGGGATACTTCTCTGCCCTCTCTAAGGCAGATTTGACTTTATCCAGAGTGTAGACGCTTTGGTAGTTGAGGGAGGTGGAGGCAGAGGCGGCTGCTACCGTAGCGGTGGGTTTCTACTCCAGTCTGCTCTTGTCGAAGAGATTAAGCATGATTGTGGACGGCGACGGCTGTGCGTTAGCACTTGCGCCACCGAGACCGGAACCCTAACCCTAACACAGTGCGTGTTTCGCCTCGCTCTCTCTGGATAGTCCGAAATCCTATCCTTCACTGCCTTCTGAATTGGCTCCGCCGCTCGAGAATCGATTTTGAAATTCACGAGGAACTTCAACAACTCAGGTAAGCTAGGGTTGGGGAGGCATTTCTTGGGGACGATTCGGAGATCGCCGCGGCGAATAAACACGCGATTCTTGCTGGTCTCTGGGTCTATCCAACGAGGAAGATGGAAGGCGGCCTTGATGAGGAGGAACTCGCCGTCGTTGTCCCAGGCGCGAATGGAGAGGGAAGGAAAGTTGAGAGAAATTTCGAAGAGGAGGAAGACGACGAACCACTCATCCTCAATGTTGTCCCCGAACCGGAGCTTCCCGCTGTAGGGTCGCCGTCTCTCGGCGGCGGCATGGCGACCATTTCCGGTGGATTCTAGGTCTGTGCTGTTGGTGATCGAAGGAGGACGATGGCGAAGGCGGGATGAATGAGGTTAGGGCAAGGGATGCATTTTTTCCAAAATGATAAAAGGAAAATGATAATAGGTGGAAATTATAAAAAAATTTAATTGAAAGTTGCTGATTTGGCAGTGATGTGGCGCGTTGACCGTTAGTCAACGAGTTTCACCATCCAAGTTAACGGTCAAACATTGGATTTGGACAATTTCGTTATTTTGATGTATAGTTTGGGCCAGGATGTTATAGATCGAAAAAATTGGTCAGAATCTTTATTATCATCAAGTTAAGCCATACAAATATATTATTATTTTTTAAGGAAAGAAAGCCATTATGTGCTTTGCTTCCCAAGTAGGGATGGCAATGGGTCGGGTTGGGGCGGGTTTTGTCAAACCCAAACCCAAACCATGGGTTTATCCGCCAATAAAACCCGGGGTAAAACCCGTTGGGTTTGAAAAACTCAAACCCAACCCAACCCGCTGGGTATCCGCGGGTTCATGGGTACCCGTGGGTTTTTGCGATAAAAAATTTACAATAACAAGTTTCTTTCAAAATAAAAGTTTAAAATCAATTTTCTCATACAAATTAATCATACAAAAAACACCTATCTAGAGCATACAAGCAAACCGCAAATGATCAATACAAATTGTTCAAAATTAAAGATACAATAAGATTAATTGAAAGCTTCTTCCTCGTCAACTAAGTTTCTTCACTTTCCACTTCATAATATCAACTTCATTCTAAACAATTAGAAAGAACAAATTATACATGTCTCCACAAAACATAAATAATATTAGTTATTTAAGAAAGATATATTATTTAGAATATTAAATATACCGGGAAAGTAATTATATATGTGTGAGCGGATACCTATGGAGCGGGTTTACCTAAACTCAAACCCAACCCGACCCGGTAAATAGTATAGCGGGTTTAAACTCGAATCCGGTCCAAAACCCGTCAACACGGATTTTACCCGCGTTGACCGGTTTGGGTCGGGTGGGTAACCGTGGGTTCGGGTTTTGTTGCCATCCCTATTCCCAAGTAGACTAATAATTCCTCTTTTCTTTCCTAGTCTATCGAATTCAAGTCGGACTTCCCATCTGCTGCTCAGGGAGAGAGGGGTCGGGGGAAAGATTGGAAAGGGCAAAGATGAAAGTTGCAGGTCCATTTGTCGCCATGGTGATGGCGGAATGTGCCCAAGTTGGGCTGATGATTGTGAGCAAAGAGGCCATGTCGCAAGGGATGAGCAGCTTCATCTTCGTCCTTTACTCCAACTCCCTCGCCTGTCTTGTCCTCCTTCCAGCCTCTTTAATCTACCACAGGTTCGAACGAAATTCAACTAACCAACCCTGCTCAATCCGAACATTTTATGTCACTTCAAAATTGTTCAGTACTTGCTGACTTTCTGGCTTCTTTCCTTGTTCAAATTTTCCCCAGATCAGGGAGGCCTCCACTTACCTGGTCAATCATCAGCGGATTCTTCGTGCTGGGTCTATTTGGGTTCGTTAACTGACTCTATTTCTATAGTGGGGTTTGTCAAAGTATGTTGCTTTTGGTGGATTCTGATGGCTTTTCTGAGTTCGATTTGAATTGGGGTTTCTTCAGTTTTCTGGCACAGGCTTTTGGGTATACTGGGATTAACCTAAGTTCTCCGACACTAGCCACGGCCATACTAAACCTTGTCCCCGGCTTTACCTTCATTCTTGCTGTTACTTTCAGGTTATTACCTTTATCATCCATTTGAAAATTCATGGGCTATAGCAGTCGAATGAACTGTTACTGCTGAGAAATGGGGCTAAGTTTATCAGACAGCACGTTCCAGGTTGGAGAAGCTTGATTGGAAAGCCACTGGCAGCATAGCTAAAGTTGTGGGAACTGTTGTATCAATGGCTGGGGCATTCACAATGACATTTTACAAGGGTACTCACTTAGTACACTCTCCTCCCGGATTCACTAACCAATTGCTCTCGCAGCAGTCCGATTGGGTCCTCGCAGGATCATTTCTTGGAATGGATTGTGTTGTGACTTCTGCCTTTGTTATCATACAGGTTAGGCAATTTTCTAAACTACAATGACAAGAAAAGGCTGGAATAAATTACCAAAGGATAGAATGATGTTTCTCAGTTGTGTATGTTGATGTGTTGCAGGCATTGATCCTCAAGAAATATCCAGCGGAGCTGATTCTGGTATTTTTCTACTGTTTCTTCGTTGCCATTCTGTCCATAATAGTTTGTCTGGTGGCGGAACGAGACATCACTGCTTGGACCCTGAAACCTAGCATAAGATGGACGGCGGTTCTCTATTCAGTAAGTTTAGTTTGTCTCACTGTTGTTGGACAATGTCTCTGTCCTTCCACCTCCATCAACCTGAAAAATTCTATATGACAAACTGCTGTAGGGAATTTTCGGATCTGCCTTCCAAGTCGGCATTGGTACATGGTGTCTGTGCAGGACCGGGCCAGTTTTCGTTTCAATGTTCAAACCCATCGGGATAGTGATTGCTGCTGCAGTTGGTGTCATTTGCTTCGGGGATACTCTGTACCTCGGCAGGTGGGATTTCCATTTGGTCAACTTTTGTCAAAGTTCAATTCCCTGTCATTCTTGTACATTTTGAATGACTAGTCTACTAGTACTGATGTTGCTGTTGCTGCTACTACAACTCACATCAGCTCTTGTGAATGGGTTTATGTAGTTTGATTGGAGCTGCTGTGATTGTTGTTGGGTTCTATTTGGTGATATGGGGCAAAGCTCAAGAAGTAGATGTAGATGGAGCTAGGACTGTCAGAGGGACATCTGAGTCAAGCAGCCAAAAGGCCCCTCTCCTGCCAAGTTATCAGGAAGAAAACTAGAAGTTATTTGCAGAAAGCAAGAGAGGATTCTGTTGGACCAAAGCTTGATATTGGAAGGCTTGACCTTCAATTTGAAGTGTAAAGAAAAATTATTTTATGTGCTTATTAGTTATTATTGCTTGAACTTTCCCAAAGCTAAGCAATTGAAATTTCGACTGCCATTGAATTATTAGTTATTAGTGCCCCTTATAATAAATAAGTTGGTAGCCACATTTGGTTATGGAATTATTAAATTAGGTTATGTTTAGTCACTAGAAAAAATTAATATCAATTTTGGTCACTTGAATTATTAAAACAGGTCACATTTAGTCACTTTCATGTTAGCCTCCGTCCACTGTTTCTTACTCGGTGTTAGTAAATGGACACAACACAGAGAGTTTCAACCCTTCTAGAGGGCTCAGACAAGGTGATCCATTATCACCATATCTATTTCTATTATGTGCTGAAGGCTTAACAACCCTTATCAAGAAAGCTGAGAAGGAAGGCAGACTACATGGAATCCAAATGAGAAAGAAGGCTCCTAATATTTCTCATCTTCTGTTTGCATACGACAGTGTGGTGTTTGGAAGGGCGACAACTCAGGAGTGTGATGAACTTAAAAGAATTCTGAAGTATTATGCCACTGAGTCGGGTCAGCTGATCAGTTTCAATAAATCTGATATCTCTTTTAGCAACAATGTCAGGATAAGCCGAAGGCTGGAAGTTTGTGGTGCACTCGGTATTAGGGAGGTGGCGAAACATCCTAAGTATCTTGGTCTTCCCACTATTGTTGGAAGATCGAAGAAACTAATGTTTGAAGAAGTTAAGGAGCGAGTAAGGAAAAAGCTAAAGGACTAGAAAAACAGAACCATGTCCCAGGCGGGGAAAGAGGTGATGATCAAAGCTGTGGCTCAAATTCAGCTCCTATATCCTATGATGGTTTTCTTGATTCCTGAGGGAACTATTAATGAGATCCAAAGAATGATACCGAGCTTCTGGTGGGGGGCAGAAAGGTAAAGAAACAAAGCACCATTGGCTAAATTGGGATAATTTTTGCGAGGAGAAGGAAGTGGGTGGAATGGGGTTTACAAATCTTAGAGATTTTAATTTGGCAATGCTGGGAAAGCAGGTATGGAGTGTGCTCTCTAGGCCAAACTCATTGATGGCCAGGATGCTAAAAGCCAAGTACTTTCCTAGAACTGATATCCTTAATGCTAAACTTGGCTTTAGGCCGAGTTTCATATGGAGAAGTATCATGACTGCTATGGAGAAGATAAGGGATGGATTCAGATGGCGTGTTGGAAATGGGGAGTCTATTAGAGTCTGGGAGGACCCCTGGATCCCTGGCAAAAGCTACTATTATGCAGACCCCTTACCAAGTGATTCAAATCCAAATGAGATAGTTTCGGATCTCATTGATAAAGAGAGGGGGTGTCTGGGATCAGAACATTCTAAGTCAGTTCTCTAAACTGGACTGTGAACTTATTGCAAAAATTCCCCTGAGGAGGCCTATGATGAGTGACACAAGGGTTTGGATTGATGCGGATGATGGGAAATATTCAGTTAAATCGGCTTACAGGAAAATCTTTGAGAAACGAAGCCATAACACTGCTCAGGTAAATTCTATCACTAGCGAGGAATCTGAATTCTGGAAAGCTCTATGGAAAACCCCTATTCCTCCTAAAGTTCGGTTGTTTATCTGGAGAGTTGGGAGAAATATTCTACCTGTTGGATGCCGGATTGAAGAATGGTTTGAGGAGGCTTGTCCGGATTGCCCCTTTTGTGGGCTGCCTGAATACCAGACCCATGCTTTGCGCGAGTGTGGTTGGATTCGCCGCCAATGGGAAACCTGGGATGGGAAAGAGTTATTCGATATCAGGGAAGGTAAATCTTGCATGGAATGGTAAAGGCGATCTGGAAAAATTCTCATATCGAACAGATTCAAAAGTTCTGTGTGGTTCTATGCAATGCAGTCAAAATCGGGATTTTGATCGTAAAATCGTAGGATTTTAGGATTTTACTTAGGGATTCCGATCCTGATTTTACTATAAAATCGATGGACCTTAAAATCGTTCAAAATCGGGATTAAAATCGTAAAATCATACCAAAATCGGGATTTTGATCCTATGTGAATAAAATAGGGAGCTTTAGCCAATTCAAAAGAAGCAGAATTGTTTCGGTGGAAAGGGCAATGACGGAGATCTTCTCATATATTTTTCCTATTAAAAGAACATTTGAAAAGAAGAAAAAAAAACTAATTAGGGTTCGGTCAACCCCTTTCCCTTCTCCTTATTTAACTCATCGGTAAAACAATTGTCAGAATATTGTTAGTGCGTAAGAATTAACATCATTATTAAAAAATTATTTTATTAATGAATATATTTGTACCAAACCAACGACATTAATTATTTTATTCGATTTCAGTTATTCTTAGTTTTAAATCATGCTTAGTAGACAATGTCAGAATACTACTTTGAGTTAAACTATCTAGACACAACATGAAAAACAAGAGCCAAACCCCATAAGCTCTATCCCTTCCTCATAAATTATTTTGAGTTACACATTAAATAACAATTAAAATGATGAATTTGGAACATTAATCTTGAAAATTATCACTTTAAATGTTATAAGTCTTTGTGTTATTAATTATTTACCTTATTAATATTATCATATAATAATTTCTATATGGTATTTAAAATCCTACAATTCTACGATTCGATTTTACTACAGTTTTCGATTTTAGGTAAAATCCCGATTTTAACTGCTTTGGTTCTATGGTATTTATGGAAGGAAAGATGCAATCACCTCTTTAATAACCGCAAAACGGAGGAGGAGCAGATTATTTCGAAAGCTCTGGGGTGGCTTCAAGCGTATCTGAATGCCCAAGACCCTCCCTCTGCGAATGGGGCGAGTAATCTTCAATCGCCCACCCAGGGTCCTTCTTGCGGCTGGAACAGTCCTCCTGAAGGTGTCTTCAAGCTCAACTCCGATGCCGGAGTATTCAATCCTTCTGGTGTGGGGTTCGGTTGCGTGATCAGGGATTGGGGCGGAAACTTTTCTGGAGCAACAGCAAAGAAGGAGCGAGGGATTTGCAGACCCATCGAAGCTGAAGCAAAAGCCATCTTAATGAGGCTGATCGAAGCCAACAGACGAGGGTTTAGCCCTCTCATCGTCGAATCTGACTGTCTGGCTCTCATAAGGAGATTGAAGGAAAATGTGGAGGATTGCTCGGAGCTAGGTGTCTGGTGTGAGGAGATAAGGAAGGTTGCGAGAGTAAACGAGGAGATGACATGTGTCTCTGTGAAGTGGAGTTTTACCCCAAGAAAGAACAATAGCTCGGCCCACTGGTTGGCCCATGCGATTTCGGGCTGGGATAGACAGTATGTTAGGTTTGATAACCCTCCTCTGAATTTGCTTTGTCACCTGGAGGGTGATCTGGGTTGTTTGGACTGTAGACCTTTATCCTAATTTTTGAATAAAAAGCACTCAGATTCCCATAAAAAAATTCTCTGTCATTTTTTTTGTTGTTGATAAAATGGAGGCTGAAACGCAAAAAAATAATAGGTGGCAACACCATCCCTTAGTCTCTTGTATTTTTTTTTTTCAAAATTTACACTACTTTTCTCTCATTATTTCACTACCATCGTATTTTCATTTCCTTTAAATTTTTCTTCCATTTCCCTACCTTCGCCCCTCTTTCATGAACAAAATATTGTTGTTCTCTTCGGTGTCCCATGGCAGGCAATTCAATTGGTGAGTATAGCGCTTGACATATTAAGAGGTTAATTGGCCGAGTATTTTTTTTATGAATAATTGGCCGAGTATTTTCTCTATGCGCTTGACATATTAAGCAGTTACAACCAGTCCTAGAACAACAACCCAAACGTGTATCAGGCAATACACTTTGGATCAGGGGCGTCGCCCCTAGGGATGGCAACAAACCCGAACCCACGGGTATCCACCCTACCCAACCCGGTCAATGCGGGTAAAATCCGTGTTGACGGGTTTTGGGTCGGGTTTGGGTTTAAACCCGTTCACTATTAATTGGGTTGGGTTGGGTTTGGGTTTAGGTAAACCCGGCCCATGGGTACCCGCCCACAACCATATAATTAATTTTCTCGGTATATTTAATATTCTAAACAACTAATCTTATTTATGTTTGTGGAGACATGTCTAATTTTTTCTTTTTAATTCTGTAGAATGAAGTTGATGTTATCGAGTGGAGAGTGAAGAAACTTAATTGAAAGGAAGAAGCTTTCAATTAATCATGTTATTTATGGATAATTTGTGATTTGCTTCAGTTTTCATTAGGACTGGGAAAATAGACTAGACCGTTAGAAAAACCGTGGTCCAAACCGTACCGCACAGTTTGGTCCGGACCGTAGACCGTTAAGTATGGTCTGGTCTGGTCCACGGTCTGTCTTATTTTATGTTTTGATATCTTGGTCTGGTCTGGTCTAGACCGCGGTTTACCGGACCAAACCGTTGACCCAACCAACTTGTCAATACGTGTTAACAGCTCATTCGACCACTCTCCCAACTCCCACAACGACACCCAAGTATCAACCTTAGTTTTGTGAATCACGTCCCTCCTTCATTCACAACCACATTTAACCAGAGAGTAGAGATAATTGTGTCTCCATATGGCATTATGTTAATATTTATGACGTTATGGTGCAAGTTTGGATGCTTTTACTTTGTATCTTTGTTATGTACTAAGATTTAGGGTATCAAAATTATTCATGCATGTTAGGATTAATGTTTTAAGGAAAATAACAATTATTTCTCTTGATATTGGTTCAATTTTTTGTGTGGTCGACTGAACAAATTATTCATTTTTCGTTGAGTGTGGTCTATCTGGACCAGACCAGACCGAACCAGACCGCACAGGCGTGGTCTGGACCAGACCGCATAGTCTATGGTCTGGTCTGTGGTCTATACTTCAGCCTCTCGGTCTGGACCATAGACCGTATATATGGTCTGGTCTGGACCATACCGCACCTTTTCCCAGCCCTAATTTTCATGAGTTTTCTAGATTGGTGTTGAACAATTTGTATAGTTAATTTGTGATTTGCTTGAATTTTCTAGAATGGTGTTTTACATATGGATAATTTGTATTGAGAGATTGATATTGACTTTAATTTTGATAGAAACTTGTTATTGTAAATTTTTTACGACAAAAACCATGGGTACCCATGAACCCGCAGATACCCAGTGGGTTGGGTTGGGTTTGAGTTTTTCAAACCCAGTGGGTTTTACCCCGGATTTTTTTCACGGATAAACCCATGGGTTTGGGTTTGGCAAAACCCATTAACATCCCTGCCTGAGCCTCCATGACATCCAGTCGTAGCCAGATAGTTTGATTCAAGTCACATAAACAAAAACAATATAAACCAATCATAGACCAACAAGTAAACAATGACACCTTCAACAACAAGACACAATAAACTAATACGAATATCCCAAATAACCATAATAAACCATAATTCATTGATAAGAAAGACCCAAATAATAAACCCAAACTCGGCCACAAGGCCTGCGGACGCTATAATGCATCAGAATTCAAAAACAAAGTAAAGAAGACTGAAATTTCCCGTGCGAATGAAGCACTAGCAAGGCGGCTAATTTTTCATCATAAAACTTTGAAATTTTTTCATTAAAATAAATTAGATAATTATTTTTTTATACACAAATTCATTTTTCTACATTATTCATATGAATATCACCATGACAATCTATTAATCACGGGAAATGAAAATTCAAACGCATATATAGATTCTAGTGATGTTAGTGATATAATCAATCACGTGAATATTTTTCACGACTCTTGCTGTACTTCTCAGTACGTGAAAAAAATCAAAATTCCATGGCTAAAAATCAGTTCTCATGTAGATGATTCCAGTCTCACTGTATGTATTCTCACCCGAGTAACCCTGCAATGCAATATTGAGCAGATGATTCCAGTCTAGCTAACAAGTCACCTAACCTAATTAATATCGCAGCAATATTATTTGTGATACATCCCGACACGAGGCAATTGAAATTTTAATGTATAAAAAGTTTGACTCCTTTGCTGACGATGGCCGCCCAAACGTGACTTCTCTCTGTGTTTAATTTGTTGGCTTCTATCTTAATTTGTTGGCTTCTTGCTGACGTAGCTTGCCCAAGATAATTTCTTACATATATTTAGTAATTTTATTTTGAATGGAGGGGCCATCATCAATCTTGGCCACGAACCCAAAACTACAAGATTCAGTAAGAATAATATATTTTTCCCCTCACCTCACTTACTTCCTTTCTAAACCCCGTATTTGATTTCCTCCCATTAGATAACAATATATACACAAACAATCCCCAAAACCAAACAACCAAACAAAAACAAATGTAACACCACGACATGATTTGCCACATCACGCCTCCACTCTCTCCCTTTGTATCGAGTTTGAGTCACCACCCACACGAGCCGCTTCTTCCCCCTCTTTACCTTCCCATATTACTCAAAGGCTGCCTCTTTCCCTATATTTTTTTCCTGTCCACATGAATTATAACTAAGAGGTCCCCCCAACGAAAACCCACATGAATTATTATTAGCAACGCGACGTACGTCGGAAAATGAAAGCAGGTTTGGAGAGGGTTAGCTCGTCATTAGCGGCGGCGCCGTTTGCCGGGATGGTTGGGATGGAAGGCTGCGCCATTGCACTGACGATAATGGCGAAAACGGTGCTGTCGGGGGGGATGGTGAATCGGATGGTGATGAGCCCTTACGTGTTCGTCGTCTATGTAAATGCGCTCGGGACTCTCTTTCTGTTTCCCTTTTCCTTTCTCTACCATAGATCGTGGTGGTTGGGATCTGGAGGAGGAAAGAATAATGAGATTCTTGAAGAGAAACAACAGCTACAGCAACAGCAACAACAGCAGCCCGTTTTCCCGCTACTGGTTCGCTACTTCTTCATGGGTTTTACCGGGTGAGTTCTGTTTGTTATTATCGTGTCTAAATGTCATTGGGGGTGAACATGGTAAACTAAAAAGAGCGGTATGAGATCTATGGTTAACGTTTTTTCTTAACAATTTAAGTTAGCAACTCAGTTTAAACAATTCTAATCATGGGAAGAGAGTTAATGACATAAACATATGATAATATATAGACTTATAATAACCCTCATATATTATGGTGATAACGTAACATGAAGTATGGTAGGAAAAGATAATAGTGTTATAAGAACTGAATTGGATCAATGGTTGAGATAGTAGAACCATTGAAACAGTAATATAGTAGTTCGGTTCATTTGATTGGAAGGTATGAGATGGATCAAACGGTTTTTAATGCTTTAACATGAAACTAGATAAACCATCCCGATTTAACTGGTAGATTGGTTCGCTATTTTAACCACAAAGAGAAAAATCAACGTAAATTAATTAGACTATCCAGCCTCAATCAAGAAATCTATTTATGCTTCCTTTTGTTTTCATTTCTCAACCTCCTTGTTGCATTTATTTGGTTCACTATGGATTATCACCCTGGTATTCTGATTTATTGTTTGAGATAGTTTGAATGCTTTTGCTAGAACTTTTTGGTGACAGATGATATGAAATTGAAATTGTTTATGGTTAGTGATAAATTCACTCATAAATTATTGTATTATATGTGTCTTCTATGAGCGCATGAATTTTCTATCAACGGTTAACCAACGATCCTATAACGATTAACCTGTTACACCACCGGCCACTAACTTTTTTGGTTCATGATCCGGTCCAGTTCTGAAAACATTGCATGATAATATAGATAATTCTAATACAATTTTTCCAAAATATATAAAATGAATATAAATTCATTTTTGCAATGCCAATTTTATTTAAATCCACATTAAAACATTAAAGACACCCCTCGTCAAGAAAACTAGACATACTGAAGTATAATTTAATCTGAATCATTAAATTTATCCAAGCGCTGAAATTCTGTTGTGAAATATTGTATATTTTTTTATATAAGAAAATACTGCTTATTAACTGGTAATGAAATATAACGGATTTACGAATTTAGAGCCGACAAAAGCATCTAGTCATTGTTTTTGGATGACGGGGGTCCAGGTCCATCCATTAATTAAATTTAATTGCAGAGATGTTAAAAGCCACCTAATTCTAGTTGTCATCCATGGGCCTGCCAATTGATATCCGGGCCGCATTAAACCGGGCCTAATATATTTACCCACTGGATCTCCGGCCCTGCAGGATAGCCCTGTCTCAAAACCTCGCGTTTATGGGCCTGGTCTACAGCTCGCCCATCGTCGTATGTGCAATGGGCCTCTTGATTCCTGCCTTCTCCACCGTCCTTGACGTCCTCCTTGGCGGCAGAGCCATCAAGTCAACACACTGGTCAACCTCAAGCTTCAAGTTCAAGCTGATCGGAACCTTGATCTCGGCTGTGGGAGCAATCACAGTGGTAACGTACAAAGGCCCTTACATACGAGAAGCTCGCCCGTCTCCTTCCCCTCATCTCCAAACAAAACAGCACCGTTTCGTTTTCTACTCGTTGGCTGACGCCGACAGTTGGGCCGCCGGCTGCCTCCTGCTCGCCGCTTCTTCTCTCTGTGTCTCGATTTGGAACTTCCTCCAGGTATCGTACCGAATCATCCGTCGACGACGACGACGGCGACGTTAATTACATTTTATTCGGCGTTGATTCGGGTTGGATGATGAATATTGATTGAAAGAGGTTTTTGAGAATGAATCTGATGTGTTGTTTATTGATTGTGCGGCTGAACTAATATACACAGACTGTACAACAGAATGATTCCCACCATCCTAAAGGATAGGAACTGAACAGAAGTGGGAGACTAACGTGGAGATTGGGAAAAAATAAAAAATACAATTTAGTGTACATTAATATCTTTAATACGCCCCCGCAAGATGGAGGAGGTATCAACGACGCCAATCTTGGATCGAAGTAGCTGAAATCTAGTCGTCGGGAGAGGCTTGGTGAGAGCATCCGCAAGTTGGTGTGCGGTAGGAATGTGGGTGACACGCAGACGACCGTCATGAACAAGTTGACGCACGAAGTGGTAGTCCAAAGCCAGGTGTTTCATGCGGGAATGAAACACAGGATTAGAACTGAAGTAGGTGGCACCAAGGTTATCAGAATACAATGTTGGAGGCGACTGCAAGGGTGCATGGAGCTCAAGTAAGAGATTTTGGATCCATTCCAATTCGGCAGTGGCATGGGCGATAGCTCGATACTCGGCCTCGGTGCTGGAGCGAGCAACCGTTCGCTGTTTCTGAGAGCGCCAGGAGATGAGTGTGGTACCCAAATAAACAAGATAGCCGGAGGTGGAAGAACGATCATCAAGGTTCCCAGCCCAGTCAGAATCCGCAAAAGCAGACAAAGTGAAGGGAGTACTGCAGCGACGAATCGAGAGACCAAAATTGAGAGTACCGGAGACATAGCGGAGAAGACGTTTGACAGATTGCCAATGAGAAGCTGTGGGAGCATGCATATACTGGGAGAGCTTGTTGACAGAGTATGCAATGTCGGGGCGGGTGTAAACCAAGTACTGAAGTGCACCCACTACCTGGCGGAATCGAGTGGCATCGGCCGGGGGAGACCCATCATTCAAGGTGAGATGGGAGGAAGAAGTCATGGGAGTATCCACGCCATTGGCAGCAGTCATATTAAAGCGATGGAGAATATCTACCATATACTTGTGTTGAGACAAAACATAACCGGAGGCAGTAGGAATCACCTCGATACCCAGAAAATAGTTGACATCACCAAGGGCCTTGAGAGAGAAGCGACTAGATAGAGCCTGCTGAAACCGGGAGAGTAAAGCAGGATCGTTGCCAGTGAGTAGTAAGTCATCAACATAGACCAAAAAATATAGCAGAGCGGAGCCATGTGAGTAGACGAAGAGAGAAGCATCAGAGTGAGTCTTACGAAAACCAAACTCCTGAAGAAAAGCACAGAGTGTAGAATACCAAGCTCGGGGGGCTTGACGAAGCCCATAAATAGCCTTTTTAAGGCGACAAACATGGTGCGGGCGAGAAGGATCAACAAACCCAGGCGGTTGAACCATATAAACCTCCTCATCCAAGGGGCCTTGAAGAAAGGCATTATTCACATCGAATTGCGAAATAGACCAACCACGGGAAAGAGCTAGAGTAAAGACTGTACGCACAGTAACCGGTTTGACCACCGGGCTGAATGTGTCCGTGAAATCAAGCCCAGGACGTTGATGAAAACCTTTGGCCACTAGACGAGTCTTGAAGCGCTCAATGGAGCCATCAGAATGATGCTTGACACGAAATACCCACCGGTTACCAAGAACATTGTAGTGTGGAAGGCGAGGGACTAAATCCCAAGTGTCATTGGCAATGAGAGCAGAATGCTCAACAGTGAGAGCTGCATCCCACTCGGGGTAGCATTGAGCCTGGTGAACAGAGATGGGCTCGAGAGGAGGCGGCCCAGGGGAGTGCTGGGTGACAAACAGCCGCTTGGGCCTGAAAATTCCACTCTGAGCCCGCGTGCGCATAGAGTGAGAACGCACAAGCGGGGGAGGCTGAACTGGGGCGGGCGCGGAGTCAGATGGAGGCGTGGCTGGGCCAGCCGCGCGGGCGGATGGGGAGAGCTGAGGCGAAGATGGGCCGCTGAGAGGCGAGGCCTGCTGGGGAGGAGGAGCGGAACGGGCCGGTGAGGGGAGCCCACTTGCGGAGGAGCGACGCTGGGGGGAAGCAGCCGCTGCAGGGGGTGAACGGGCCTGATGATGGTCTGAAGCCCAATTGGTGGGCCGGCAGGGAATGGTGGTGATATGGGGAGACAGGTCCAGTAGCCAAGACTCGGACGTGGCTGAATCAGCAGGGGAAGGGTCACAATAGCCTGGGAAGTGAGTTTCAACAAAAACAACATGTCGTGAAAGAAAAAGACGGTGAGTAACCGGATCAAAACACCTATAAGCACTGCGTTGAGGACAATAGCCAAGGAATAAGCAAGACCGAGAACGAGGATCAAGCTTGTGTGAGGAGTATGGACGGAGCCAAGGATAACAAAGGCAACCAAAGATACGCAGTTTATGATAGTTTGGAGGCAAATTGAAGAGGAGAGTGTAGGGAATTTTACCACGGAGAGCAGATGAAGGAAGACGATTGATAAGATATATGGCAGTGGAAAAAGCAAAGGACCAAAAAGACGTGGGAAGTTTAGCATGATGAAGGAGAGTAATACCAGTTTCAACCAAGTGACGATGCTTTCGTTCAGCAAGCCCATTATGTTCCGGTGTATGGGGCGGAGTAAGAAGATGGGTAATTCCATTAGCAAGTAAATCTGATCGTAATTTTTGAAACTCACCACCACCATCTGTGTAAAGACGACGAATAGTAGTGGAGAAATAATTTTCAACCATTTTCCGAAAGGAAAGAAAAACGTTAAGAACGTCAGATTTGAGGCGTAATGGATAATACCAAGTGTAACGAGTGAAGTGATCAATAATAATAAGATAATAGTGATAACCATCAATAGAGGGAACTGGAGCAGGACCCCAAACATCAGTGTACAAAAGATCAAATGGACGATCACTGGATAATGACGAAACAGAAAATGGGAGTTTATGGCTTTTATTGGAGAGACACGCATCACAAGGAGAACTAGTAATAGGAGTTGAAACTGGAAGAGAATTCGACCGAATAAGACTGCTAAGGGAATGATGGGAAGGATGACCAAGGCGAGAGTGCCATGAAGTTGCTGACGTCCGAGTCGTGACTAGAGCCATGCTGACATTCTGCACGTCACTGGGAAGTTCGTACACATCACCGTTGTTTACCCCCTTCAGCAGAGGCGCCCCCGTGCGAAGATCCTTCACAAGAAAATGAGAAGCAAAAAATTCCACCGACACAGGATTAGTTTGACATAGCTTAGCAACCGAAATTAAATGCTTCTTGATAGCCGGAACACATAACATATCATTCAAGAACAAGGTGCGTGAGCCACTGGATAATGAGGAGGAGCCGATATGAGAGATAGTCAAACCTGAACCATCACCGACTAGAATTTCGTCAGGCCCCGAATAGTCGGAATATAAGGACAGCTGGCCCAAATCAGGAGTAACATGGTGACTAGCTGCTGAGTCCATGAGCCACGGCCCAGAAGAGGGCCCAGAAAAATGAGAACTGATGGGCTGTGCTGCTTGAGTGTTGTGGACTTGGGCCTGGCGGGCCTGATTGAAAGCCTGACGGGCTTGAGGGAAGAGGCGAAAACACTGTTTTACAGTGTGGCCTGGGCGCTCGCAATATTGGCACACAACAGCAGGCCGGCGCTGTCGACTGGGCTCGGGTGACAAATAAGACCCAGCTGCTCCCATGGGCCGATGATGAGAGATGTCAGGCCCAGGGGAATTATAATGTTGCTGTCGAGAAGAAGGGCTGCTGTGGCCGCTCCCACTGCCCCGAGAGAAAGAACCAGCGCCGCCACTGATGGTATTTCCGCCAGAACCACCGCCGCCGGGAAAATTGCCGCCAGGAGTGCTGCTGCGACGGTGCCCCGAAAAGAAAGCAGTGGGAACCGAGCTCACTCGGGTCTGTTCCTGCAGATCAGCTTCATATTCAACAAGAGAGTCAATCAAGTCCTCAATCGTGACTGCAGTACCTCTCGCACGAACAGCAGCAGAAAAATGATTGTAATCTGGACCAAGACCTCGAAGGCACTGAACAACAAGGTCCAGATCAGAGACTGGCTTTCCAACAAGAGCCAATTCAGCAGCGGTAAGCTTTAAATCATTCACGAATGTAAGGACATCCCGATTGCCCTTTGTAATGCGACTCAATTTTCCTTTGAGATTGAGGATTCTAGACTGAGATTTTCCAGCATATAACCTTTCAAGCGTAAGCCATGCTTCACGAGATGTACTTGCAGTAGAGACAAAGGAATATAAAGATTCTGAGATAGAGCAGCGAAGAGCGTGGAGAATCAGCTTATCTTGACGGAACCAGCGACGATACTCTGGATTCGGACGATTTGTGTCATTCTCTGTGATTGTCAGTTCTGGAGCGACGGTTGAGCCATCAATGAAGCCAATCAACTCCAACCCCATGAGCAGCGTCTCAAGTTGTGATCTCCAGGAGTTAAAGTTCGTTGATGTGAGTTTCAGAGGGAGTTGTGCCGCCGGATTGAAGGTGATGATCATGTCTTCGGATGGTATAGCTGAAGCAGCATTAGAAACAGAGGACCCTGACATGGTGACTGACCGTGATTGTCACACAGGCAGAGAAGAAAAGGGAAAGACTGGATCTGATCTAGCTGATCTTTTTGCTAGGCTCTGATACCATGAAAGAGGTTTTTGAGAATGAATCTGATGTGTTGTTTATTGATTGTGCGGCTGAACTAATATACACAGACTGTACAACAGAATGATTCCCACCATCCTAAAGGATAGGAACTGAACAGAAGTGGGAGACTAACGTGGAGATTGGGAAAAAATAAAAAATACAATTTAGTGTACATTAATATCTTTAATATTGATGACCAGTATGGCAATTTGTGTATGTACGGACAGTCGGACACAGTGAAACGAAATCCCAAAGTGATGGAAGTGGCGTCGTGTTATAGCTTAGCCGGAACTGTCCAATGTGCAATGTTTGCTTGGGTCGTAGAACGAGACCTCGGTGCCTGGAAAATCAAGCTTGTTGGCCTGGAATCTATGGTCATTTTGGTCACGGTGAGTTCTTTATTTCATGGCGGGAACAAATAAGTAACACATTGTACACTTATTATCTAACATGTGGAGTAACAATTTTCCATGTGACTAGGCGGTCTTCGGAAGCATCATTAGGAGCAGTGTTCATATGTGGAGCGCAAGAGCGAAGGGTAGTTTATATGTAGCCATGTTCCAGCCATTCAGAATTGTTTGGGCTACGTTTTTTGGTGTTAGCTTCTTTGTGAATGGTCTGCACTATGGAAGGTAACTAATTATTTTTTTACCCTGGTTAAAAATTTAGGGTTGGGTTTTTGTTTTCTATGACGATCTGGATTTTTATGATGAATTTGTTGCGTTTTGTGGTATGATAGTGTGATAGGAACAGTGGTGTGTGGAATGGGGTACTATACGATACTGTGGGGGAGGATCAAAGAAGATGAAGGAAGAAAAGTGTATGCTGATGATGTCAAGTGTTCTTCGGATAACAGGGCGCCGTTGCTTGTCGAGGACAATTCCCAAGTTTGATCAAGAATTTGTTTACCTAGCTAGCTAGCTACCCTGTCTGTCCACTTTCTAGAGTGTGTAAAAATTGTACATAGTCAAGCCTAGCTTTTGTTTTAAAAAAAGAGAGTCAAGCCTAGCTGATCCATCTTTTCTATTGTGTGGAGTCTAGCTAGTAGCCATTTGATGATTTGAACATAAAGAACTAGTCTATCCAACCTGTTGGTCAGAGAGCGATTATGTTTATCGTTTAATTATTTTGTTAGATTGTGTGAAAGTTTGAAACTACCCAACGGCCAATACGGAATACTAAACATTTATGCTAGCTTTGAACTCGGCCTGTGGCATTCAAAGTAGTAATTGTTTCGCCATGTAACATTTGGAGATGAAATAATTTCTCTATATATATAATGATAATATTAGTTTGTAGTCGACATTGAATTTAAATTTATGTGTGAATGTCTTTTGAAATTTGACGAAAGAATACTAGCTAGACTGATGAAGAACACAAGGAATATAAACATGTCAGGCTATTAGGGGCCAGATTTTTTTTTTTTGTTGATAAAGGTGAAATCAATTAATATAAGGAAGGGAAAACCAGTACAGACCAGAAGAAAAACGAAAGGAAAAAAAAAAAACGACCCGCAGCCGAAAGCGGCATGCCACCAAACATCCCGGCGGCACAGCCCAGCCAAAGCCTAGAAATAACAAGACATACAGGCCTGCAAACTACAAAGAGAGATCGAAATCACAACAGAAGCGGGCCTGGGAACAAACACCCCATCCCAAAACAAAACAAGTGGAGAAACCCACAGGGCAGCATGACTTAATCGACACCCAGGGCAGCTCAGAACCAGAGGGAACAGACAGAAAAGGCTCCAAAATTCGAAACCTCCTCTCGACGAGCACTGTCTTACTCCTGCAGATCACCAGCTGCTCTAGGCAGAACTCGGCTCTTCAAACCTCTTAACCAATTTTCAGCAACCATCCTGTCGACCTTCCCGTGGGCGCAGAGCCAGTCCACCATGCTGCGGCCAATCTTTACGCAGACGACGTTGGCCGTCTCTTTTTTATCTCTAAAGACTCTGCTGTTGCGCTCTAGCCAGATACGCCAGCACAAGGCATGAATGAAGATTCTCGTACACCAATCCCGGGGGCAGACCGGCTTACTTCTGCACCATACTCTTAAGACAGAAGCGACACACGAGGGCAGACTCGCAGGAAGCTTCACAAAACTTCTCATGACCTGCCACACCCTCTGCGAGTACCTGCAGAACAGAAACAAGTGATCTGAAGTCTCCTCTTCTTCGCGGCACAAGGCACATTGATTAGGCAGCATCCAACCGCGCTTCTTCAGGTTATCTTGCGTCAGAATCTTGTTGTGGTAGACCAGCCAGATGAACACACAGACTTTGAAGGGAGCACACTGTAGCCAGACAGCATCCACGGGAAAATCGGAGTCCGGGTTAACTTGTTCTTCAACCAGCTTCTCATACATAGACTTCACTCGAAACCCGGTACTTGGGGCCGGCTCCCAAATTAGTCTCGAAGGTCCTGCAGAAAACAAACTCATAGGAACACTATGCAAGTAATTTAAAAGTTCAGTTCTCTCACCCTCAGCCCCCCCCCGAAGACTGTGGCGAAGGGTTAGATCCCAAGAGAGCTGCCCATCCTCGCGACGCAGAACTTCAGCGATTGTACAGCGATGGGACTCGGCGGCAGCGACCACTCTTGGAAAGCTCACGGCCAGCGGAGGTCTTCTATAAACCCAAACATCATACCAGAAGGAGGTCCACGCACCTCCCCTAGGCTCCACCCACGCGAGATTCCAGAACTCCTCCGAAGTCTTCAAAATTTGGGACCATGGGCTGCATCCCATAGGACCCTTAAGTTCCCCCGAGGTCCACTCCGAAGCAGAGTGAGGAAACTTAATATTAATCAACTCCCTCCACCACTCATCTCTCTCATGGGCAAACCTCCATAACCATTTAGCCAGCATGGCTGTGTTACGACTCTTTAAATCCGGGATACCAAGACCCCCAAATTTCTTTGGCACCTTGTAAGAATCCCAAGACATTAGGTGAATCTTCTTCTCTGGGCTCGTACCCGCCCAAATGAAGTCCTTCTGGATTCTTTCTAGTTTCCGAATAACGTTGACAGGAGCCCGAAACAGAGAACACTGATAGAGCGGTTGACTAGCCAAGACTGCCTTGCACAAATTAACTCTTCCCCCTAGTGATAAGTATTTGCCCTGCCACCCAGCCAACTTTCTTTGCATACTGAATAAAACAAGTTCCCAGATTGAAGAAGATGTGGGTTGAGCACCCAGCGGGAGACCGAGATATACCGTGTGAAGGAAGCTCCAATCACACCCAAGGATATTCGCTAACCTCTCAATATTTTCGACTTCGCCAACCGGAAAGATCTTGCTCTTCTCCAGATTAATTCTAAGGCTAGTGATGGATTGAAAACACAGCAGCGCTGCCAGCACGTTAAACACTCCATACTCTGTAGCATTGCAGAAAACAATCGCGTCGTCTGCATACAAGAGATGAGAGACCTGACCGCGAAGTTCATTCTCATCAAGATGGAAACCCGAGATAAGACCAGCCTCCTGCATAGAGTTAATAATAAACGAGAAAATATCCATAACAATGCTGAACAAAAGGGGAGAGAGCGGATCCCCTTGCTTCAGACCACGCTCCATACTGAAAAAGCCAGTCGACTCCCCATTAACAAGAACAGAGAGCTTTGAACCGGTCACTAACCCCATGATCCACCTAATCAACTTCACATTCATACCCATATTCTTAAGGATCCTTCTCAGACAATCCCAGCTAACCGAATCGAAGGCCTTTTCAATACCCAGCTTTAGAATAATACCTGGCTTTCCGCTACGTTTACGGCTGTCAATAGCTTCGTTGGCGATCAGACTCGCCTCATGAATGAGTTTCTTTTTCCTGCCCGCAAACTGATATTTAGAAACCACTTTTCCCGCAACCAGCTGGAGTCTCGCCCAAACAACCTTCGAGATAATTTTGTTGAGGCTCCCAATAAGGCTAATTGGCCGAAAGTCCCTGACTTCCTCCACCGCTTCTTTTTTAGGAATCAAGCACACGAAGGAATGCGCCACCGAATGAGGGAGAAAGCCGCTAATGAAAAATTCATCAAGAGCCTTCAAAACATCTCCCTTGATTATGTTCCAAGATCTTTTGAAGAACGCCAAGGAGAAACCGTCAGGCCCGGGAGCCTTGTCACCATTGCACGATCGGATTGCGTTCCACACTTCTGCTTCAGTAAAGGGGACATACATTCTGTAATTCTCATCTTGGGTGATTATTTCCCGTTTGAAGTTGGCAGGAAAGGGTCTCCCACTACATATCTCGCTGAATCTGTCTTGATAATGATTAACAAAAGCTTGCTGGAGCTGCTCCTTGTCCTCGATGAGACTGCCATCAACTTTAAGGCTCCCCACCCAATTCCTTCTGCCATTATTTTTTGCCCAACGATGAAAGAAACCAGTGTTATTGTCCCCGAGTCTCAGCCAAATCGCACGGGACTTTTGCCTCCAGGATATTTCTTCCATCAGCAGGGTTTTGTCCAGCTCACACTTCAGGCTACATCGCTCTAAATGCATTTCATCAGATAACCGCGCCTGCTCCTCCAACCTGTCAATCGTCTTAATCCTAGCCAGTAGCTCTGCAACCCTTCTATCAATTTTCCCGAAAACATCAACATTCCAGCCCTTGATTAACTGCTTTGTGTTCTTCAATCTTTGACTACATCTGAAGAGAAAACCTGATCCATTAACTGGAATGCTCCACCAACCAACCAGCTGATCAAAGAAGCTAGGCTCCTCCATCCACATGTTTTCGAACTTCCATGGGCGTTTGCGTCTCTCCTGGGCACCCCACTGCAGCATAATCGGATTATGGTCCGACTCCACCCTCTCAAGAGCAATCAAAGGGCTCGGTTCAAAGAGCTCATCAAAACTAGGATTAACCAAAGCTCTATCAATACGAGAGAGAGCCACCCTGTTACCACCACTACTCTAAGTGTACAAGGCACCTTTCAGGGGTAAATCATTCAGGTTGTTAGAGGTTATGAAGCTATTGAACTCCATAATCACTTCGCTATTCCTCGGAGCACCAATGTAATCATCTTGCGATCGGACCAGATTAAAATCACCCATGATACACAAAGCTTGACTATACCTTTGGCAAACCAGGCTCATTTCACGAATGAACGCCAGCTTTTCCTCTTTCTCCTGCGGGCCGTAGACCATCATCAAGGCAAATATCTGGTTGCTCGCGGTACACTTCAATCTCACAGAAAGGGCAAAGGCCCCTTCCCACTCGTCGATTAGAACAAACTCCGTCGGGTCCCAAAACATTGCAATCCCTCCTCTGGACTCCCTTGCATCTTTTGTAACCCACTTAGACCTCCTACTACCACCAACCGAACAGATGAGCTGCTGCTGTTTTATGTATATCCTAAAAGCGGGAAATAAAGAATATTCGGAACTAATTGTATAAGCTACTGTTTTATGTTATATCCTAAAAGTAGAAATAAAGAATATTTGGAACTAATTGTATAAGCTATTGTTTTATGTTATATCCATGATCAATCTGAAGAAGCAAATAATAAATTCTTAATTGTATCAAAATCATAAAGAACGCCAATTTTTGTCTTCTACACAACTTGTTGCTAATGACTAGTGTAATAAAAGATTTGATCCTTGTGTTGCCAATTGAATTGAAATTCCCACACGCAAAGAGCTGATCACTTGAGTCTGTGTAGATTATTGTCAATGGTTAGCACGTGTCACAACCACTTCATCCTAGGTCAAGTTTAACCTAAAATGACATTGTCGTATAGTGGTAATCAAGGTTGTATTTTACTCCAGTCCTAGTACCCTAGCCTACTTCCCACCTAGTTGTTACTTAGTTAATTGATTTTGGAGGTTTGAGCGGAGAATTTGAGGGAACTACTAGTTTAAAGATTGAATAAAGATAAAAGCAGGTACTTCGGTGAAATATCTCTCACCCTAGCCTAGGGCCACTATGTATATCTAGATACTTAGGGTTATCGAATGTGGTGAGTGAACTCGTTTTCATGGGCTTTCGTGGCTATTCACACACCTCTGAGTACGCCTCCCCTAGACCTATATAAAGTCACCTCGATCTAGGCTATTGTATATGGGGCACTAAGCTCATAACTCCTTTAAATGGATACTATCCCCAGTCCACACCGAGGTTTTATCCCGGGTTCTATCTAGGAAGACTACATATAGCAGGG